TTCTGCTCAAGGCCACCCTGCATGAGCTACAAAGCAATCTGCAGATGCCTGCTACTTGTGCTGGGCTTAGAAGTTCCCAGGCAAAGTCAAGCTATGAATGTAGGCTGGCTGTGGCTAGTGCTGGACCTGGGTCCACTTAGCAAGAGCTGTAGGAGCTAGGGGCTCGCTCACTGAGGCTGGCTGTTGCCTGTTTGAGAGAATTTAAGAAATTGTGAAGCATGAGCCAAGACCAGCCATTTATATGGAGAAGCCACTGTTAACATTTGGGTGGGCCCATAATTTGGGCAGGGCAGACCTCAAGGGATCTCAAGGACAGGGCAAAAGTATAAGCCTGGCTGATGAGTCTCAGATATTGCACCTGACTGCTGGCTCTGTATGGGGAGGGCTCAGAAAAGGAACAATGGCTTCTGCTCACCTGTCTGAGAGAAAGCTGTCCCCAGCTCTTGCCTTGATGCAGACATTTCACTCCCTCCCCATGTGCTACTGGTGACTTTCAAGCTGATATCCTAGTGCTGGGAGCTTAGAGGGAGTTTAGAGGGAGTGAGTGTGAATAAGTCTGTGTGCGGTTTCCTTAAGAGGAACTGCTTGGAACTCCAGAAGTTTCTTCTACAGACTGAATCTCCACTGATTTTTGTAGCCAGAAGTTATGGGGACTTATTTTTCTAGCACTGAAACCCTGGGCTAGCAGTCCTGATGTGGGGCTGGGAATCCTTGCTCCCAAGGTATACCTCCCAAATTTTTATCTACCACATATGGGTGTGGAACCAGCCCATTCCATGTCTCTGTGTCTCTGCCCCTCCAACCAGTCTGGATGGATGTGGATTCTTTAATTTGGTAGTTGTCAAACCTTCCATTCAAGGTGATTTCTGACAGTTCTCAGTGATGGTTGTTTATAGCTTCGCTGTAATTTTTGATGTCTTCCACTGACTTTAACAGCCACAGCACTGCCTCAGGCTGTGGCCCAGTGAAGGCCGCACATTGGTGAGGATGCGTCCCAGAGGTCCCCACAGCCCGAGTCTACCACACACCTCAAAACCTGCTGTCTTGGTCACTGACCGCATTACTATTAAGATAAAAAAAAGAGCATTTATTTGAAAAAACAAAACGAAACATTGTTCAAAACCTCAGAGTGGAATTTTGTTGTTGTGGGTTTTTTGTTTTGTTTTTTGCAACTGCACCAAGAATTTCCTCTTAGAGAAACTAAGGACATAAATTAAGATCATGCCAGCATTCTGTTTTATAGGGTAGAGCTTAGGTTTTGTAAATCAAAAGTATGTTTACAGTTGTGAGTACACAAAACACAGAGTTTATTCTTGTGTTATTATTTATTAGCTATTGTATTACTTTCCATACAAACAACTATAAACCTTGTTTTACCCTACCCTGTACACTAACAGCCAAATATAAATAAATAAATAAATAAATAAATAAATAAATAAATAAATAAATGGATAAATGGATAAATAAATAAATAAATAGATAAAAAGGAAGTAACTGTCCCAAATAGATTTCTTCCTTTTCGAAATGTATTCCTGGCAGAAAAGTACTGTACGGAACACACAGATAAACAACAGGAAATAACTGAATAAAGCAAAACCTCCCACAAATCCTGCCCACAATTGGCCATTTTAAATTTGGACAATTATCTGGCAAAAGGATATTAATGTCAAATGAATAGTTAGGTGGCATGTGATGACTTCCCCATTTGGAAAGTGGTGAACAGGAATTTACATCATAGTCAACAAAAGATGTGGAAGAAAAATCAATGTCATCTACAATATTATGAGCTCAAGTGGCAGAAAATTCACTTGAAGAATGATGAATTAGCTTTGCTTGCATTATGTGTTCAGATAAATATTTTGATCTCACACCCAGCCTTGCCGGGTGTGTGCTTTTAATTGGCATTGACCCAGGGCTGCTGTCTGTGTGGCTTAAGATAGATCAGAGATAAGAAGCAGCCTGTGGACTGCATCAATAATAAAAATTGCAATTTACTATTTTGAGCCAATGCTTAAAAATAAATAGATTTCAAATGCAAATGGACATTTCTATCTTATTCTGGAAATTCAGAAGACCTGGAAACACTGGGCCTATATTCCCATAAGGCAACAGTGGAATGAAGCTTGATGTACTGTCTCTTTTACACGAGGCATAGAGTCTCATATGAGTTTTGGACTGAATTTTGTCCAGGAAGAGAGGCCTCATTGGAAACCAATCCCACTAGACCGTTATCTTGGACTTAAAGTCTCCAAATTATGAAAAATAAATGCTGTTTAAGCCACTCAGACTGTAGCATTTTGTTGTGGCAGCTGAAGCCAACAAACACACAATTCATGCTGTGAATGTGACAGTCACCTGAGAATTCCTCCCCATGGTCCACCTTCCACATGCACTGGTTTGCCCACTTCAAGAACATTCCAGCCCCATTCCTACTACACTGCTCTAGTTCTGACTTTATGATCCATCCTGAGTTGGCTGCCATCTAACTGGAACTTCCATCTTATCTCCACCTGACACCCTACAGGCACCCGATGCCTGAAAGAATGCTCCATCTAAAAGGTAAAATGGGACCATATTACTCTTGCCACGAAACCCTCATTGCCATGCTGGCTCCCAGCCTCTTGTTTTCTTAACACTGTGTGGGGTACACAGGTCTCAGTCTTGTGTAGAAAACAAAGCTCAGGTCATAGGGATGGACCCATGGAGGAATCAGAGCACATGAAAGCACCCATGAAGTCGTGCATAGTGGAACAAAATGATATATGAGAATGGCAAACAGAATTCAGTATGGACATAAGGGAAGTAAACATTTATTCCCACTGGAGGATGCTGGGCAGGTCTTCTGGAGGAGATACCATCTTGGAAGATGGATCTAGCCTTAGACTAATGGGTATGGAGTAAGGAAGGGCCCTGAAGCAAGTTTGTCCTCCCTGAACCTATGAGTTCTCTGTCACCCAATGCATACTGCCAGAGTAAATAAGTGAGTGAATGGGGTCAATAGCAAGATAAATGGCTGTTAAACATAATGGCAGCAGAAGCAAGCATTTGAAGATATTAACAGTCTGTAAATCAGTCTTCCGATTCAGAGATTTTTAGCTTAAATCCATTCTAAATCCTAACAAAACTACGAACCTTTCTGTGTTTAATTTAAATATACACAAAAGCCAATAAACAACATTCACCTGATACAACACTATGTGTTTTACTGTTGATGTCACATTTCCCCCCCAAAGTGTGAGCCATTTGATTCACTGTCTTTTCAGATATGATGTGATATACAAGCTACAATTGTCATAAAATGTCTTTAAAGAGGAGAGTCTTTGGATGTGTATTACAAGTTAGCTTTTTGGAGCTCACCAATCCATTCTTTAGATCTTATCTCCCAGTTATCTTTCACAGACTTGTGAGTTTGTGTGTGTATCTCTGTGTACACACACACACACAACTTCACCTGTCCTTTTCTGCTTGACTACATAATCACATTAAAACAACATTGCATTGCCACATCTTATTTATTTTATTCTCTTATTTCTTGAGAACACAATGCTCTCCTTTTTGAGTTATTTTAATCTGATGCACTTGGCTGGAATAATCTGTAATTAATTTCTTTTCAGAAGAAATACGTGTGCTTTTCAGGGATATCTGAAAATCTATTTTACCCTCACACACACACAGTAGTTTAATGAGGTATGAAATTCCAGGGTTATAATTCCGTAATTCAGACCTCTGAAAACATCGCTCTGCCATATTCTAGAAGTTAGCCCTGTGGATGAGAACTCTGCTTCTGACCTGATTTGCTACCCCTTTTTCAGGCAACTTGCCTTTTTATTTTTGTTTGTTTCTCTCCCAAATTTATTTTATCTTAGAATCCAGATATTTTACCAGAATACAGCAGCTAGTTTTGTATTGTTTTTATCTTTCATTCTTGCAGTGGGTGAGCCGTTTCAAGCTTAAGATTTTTTTCTAGATCTTAAATAAAAGTCACATACATTTATAAGCCGAGATCTTACTCCAATCATGGACTAGGTTCTTTCCCTATACACAGCAGAGTACAGACCTGAATAATTATTCTTCCTTGTACATATTTAACAAAATTTGGGTCAAAAGCTCACATCTTACATTTTTATTTTAATTTTTTGCCTTAAAATTTAAAAGGCAACAAGTGGCACCTGGAATTCATGATTTGTTTTCTTTGATTCTACAATAGAGTGCATGTAATTTTTTTCTTTCTGTTAACTTGTAGGGCTGTTTATGCTTGCTACAGCTAAACCTGTAGCAAATCATGTAGTTTATTAGTTTAAAATCCTGGTGATTTTGTGCCCACTTTCTTGCATGCAGTTAGTACAGAGAATGGCTGTGGGGGCCAGCCAGCTAGTCTGCTCCTGAAGGAAGAGCAAACATTCTGAGAGCACCAGAATTGTACTTAATGAGACAGAAGTGCCAGATCTTCAGTTGTTGAAGTTATTTCTCGAAGGGGAACAAGCCACACCTATCGACAACTCTGCTATTATTCTGTGATTGGAAGAAAGGCTTTGTGGCCGGGCTAAAAGGGTTCATAAATCTTTCATTTGTGTTCTTCAAGTGCAGCACGACTACTACTGTTGCAGGAAGCGAGATGCTCGAGTTAGCTATCCCTGTGGATTACATACCGTGGAAATAAATCAATTGAGAAGGGAAAATTCCCAGAGAAGCTCATTAATTGGTAATAAGCGAGCCACTGCCCAAAATCGCAAGGTGTATAAAAGAGCAAAATCACAGGGTATTCTCAGCCAAATCACAGAAGTAAATGTCAGGGCAAGAATCATTCTGCGCAGGATTTAAGGTTGACAAACCACCCTGTTTCGCATCTGCGACCGTCGCCCACCCTGGGCGGGGATGACAATGGGCCTCTGTTCAGGGAGGTGGATGCTGCCAGAGCCCTGGAGAGCGGCGCCGGTGTTCTCCCCCACCCAGCCCTGAATTGGCGCTTTCCGGGCGAGGCCGGCGCCCACCGCACCTACCCAGGAGCAGCAGTCGGTGCGTCTGCTGTAGGTCGCGCTTCTGCTCCTGGAGCATGCGGTCGATGTTCCTGCTGACTTTCCTCGCCTCCCGCTCGGCCTCTCGCTCCTCGGCGCTCAGCTGGTCCGGGCGTCGCCTCCGTTCCTTCTTCGGGTTGGCTTTGGGTTGGGCGCAGGCTGGACTCCCGCCGGCGCCGGGAGGGAGAGGGGTCAGAGCAAGGTCTCCCCTGACCGCCGGGACCGAGGCTGGGCTCTGCGGCGCCGCTTCCGCGGCCGGTTCTGAGGTCGTGCGCGGGGCGTCCTCTGGGTCCCCAAAGAGCAGCGGCCTCAGACTGTAGCACAGACCCATGTGGGCGCGGCAGGACGCGAGGTCAGCTGGCGCCAGGCTCAGGCAGGACCCTCTGCTGCTGGACTTGAGGGGGCTGCACCCGGACCCAGGGCAGGGGTGTGGGGGGCGCGGGTCCAGGGCCACTGCCCCTCACTGCCTGGGCGGGCCATCGTGCATTTTCCTCTAGTCGAAGGAGGTAGTGGCCGCCACGGCTGGATATCACCGGATAAAGCTGAGAGCCCTCCGCGCCGACCAGCATCCGCGAACCCGGCCCCCCTTACCGTAAATACCGCTGGTCAAGCGGCTCTCTTTACCGTACAAAAGGCCACCATCGTCGGCTCCGGTCACCGTAAGTACCGCAGCCTTAGCCGATCCACCTTACTGGAAATACTGCCCCTGGGTCAACGATACTGCAAGTAAATCCCCTTCTGAGCCGGCCCCTAATACAGTAAACAACGCCGCGCGCACTATTCTTCAATACCGTAAATACTGCCTCCAGAGCCGGGTGCGCAGCAGCGGACAGTGCCACAGTGGCGGTAGTGGTTCTGTCCCCACCCAGAGCTGCCATTACATCACTTAAAATACCGCTGTGTCTTTGATTTAGGTATTGGCAAATAAGAACGGAAAAGCAAGTGGAGGGATACAGACGTTAGCTTGAAGATCTTACATTCCTCAATATAGTACGTGCAGAGATTTGTGTACCGGCTGCTCCTTTTTCAAGCTCAAGTCTTATGCACATACCCACGTCCGCGCTTTGAATCCCTACCTTAATACAAAAATCTCTAAATCAGGAGGTCCAGGACATCACTTTTAATAATTACCATATGTGTTAAAAATTTGAATATGAGCACGTGTAATTGTCACATACTGTTTGCATTTGTTAAAAGGAGAATATAAAGTTGTACTCTGTAGCCCATTTTTTAATTCCCAATATGTATAGTGCAGAGAGGAGCAGAGGCACATTCAGACTGGGGCCCTCTCTCCCCGCCTTTCCACGCAAACCTGCTAAAGACTCTCTCACTTCCTCAATAATCTCTCACTTCATGTCTTACAGAGCTTTTGCAACAGATGAAAATTTCAATAGCTTTTAAGAACTCTGCTGTAACATGTGTTCCTTAATTTGGAGCAGAATGACATAGTCTATATAACTGACAGTTAAATGACATCTAATATAAATTCATCAATACAGGAGACTGGGCTGTTTAATGAAAAATGGCATGTCATGCAGTTTACACTGTACCAGTTGGCGCTTAGTGTGAACATTACATTTGATTAAAATTTGTAAATAGAGAAATTAGAGATCTGCTCTGGCTGGATCAGTTGGTTGAAATGTCGCCTCATACACCGAAAGTCTGCAGGTTGCAGGTTCCATTCTGGGTTAAGGCACAGGCCTAGGTTGTGGGTTCTATCCCAGGTAGGGTGCCTATGAGAGGCAACTGATCCATATTTCTCTTTCTCCCTTCCTCTCTTGCTAAAATGGATAAGTATATCCTCTGGTGAGGATTTTTTATAAAGAAAGATATTGGAGATCCATAGTTCACATTTATTTTAAGGCCCTGTTAATAACAGCAGAATATACCAAATAATGTTGTGGATGTAACATTACCTCCAATTTTTTTGCTAAAATTATGCTGTTCTTTTAGATGTTTGAATCTAAAACATAGAGGACTATAAAAATCTAACTTGGGAAAACAAAAAAAGTTACTAAACATTGCTGTTATTTTCACTATTCAGTCGTGCATGATCCTCCATTTATTCATTAATTTATTTAACATTTATCAAGCAACTACAATGTGGCATTCTGGTTGGAACTGGGTGAGATAAAAAAAACCATGGGTCTTTGTGGAGTTTATACACTAGTGGGGTAGAGATATGTGCAACAATATAAATGCAAATCAATATATTAATTATACACTGCAAATTATACAAGTCCACTAAGAATAGGGTTAGAGGATATGGGAAGGTCCAACTTAAATTGGAAGGGGAGGGGGCTTATGTGTGATATAAACAACGCCTTTTAGAGGAAGACCTGAAGAATACATACCAATTCCTTTACTGTTATAATTTATTTGCTAAACTTTATCAACTACTATCACATGAGATGGATAACATTTTATTTATATATTGTAGTCAGCTTAAAACAAAAACAAATATAGGACAGATATTGAAAATTAAATACATAAGTAAAATAACATGTATCTAAATGAGAATTCACCCACTTTTGTTTACTTAGAAAAAAATAGAAGACAATGTCCTTTATTGATATCCCAAACTGAAAAAAAATTCTTAGTATCCTATTAAAAGAATTCTAGGAAAAAATGCTCTACCCATTTTGTCCACATTTCAATTTCTTTCAAGTACTTCTAATTGAACAATCAATTATTCATACATTAGATTTTGTAGATATGTATAGGATAAATTGGAATAAAATATTTACATTTATATAACATTGTTAGTTAAATTTAATGTTTCTTCTTAATCCAGAATGATTTCTAATTCACAAACCATTGGGTCATATACAAGACCTGTCTGGAAAAAGTCCAGCCATTGTTAACCTAACCAAAAAGGTTTGTGCCACATCGATGTTAACCGACAGCCAGGGAGAATGGTCTGGAATGTGCATGCATGAACAGTGATGACTTTACTGTACCAGTCAGTGGGGCAGTAGACATTGTTGAGTGAGCATGTGTACTGTGTGGCTGTCACATTCAAAATGACTGAGTGAGTAGAGCAACAAGTCTGCATCAAATTTTGTGTCAAGCTTGAACATTCCTCCGTGGAAACTATTTGTATGATTCAGAAGGCTGCAGCTATGGTCAACTGGTGATTGTCAGGTTCATCACAAGAACATGCCCGCTCATGCATCATGTCTCCTGCACAGTTTTTTTTGTGTGTGTGAAACCACAAAATCACTCAGGTAACTCAGACCCCCTACAGCCCAGATTTGGTGCCCTGTGACTTCTGGCTTTCCCAAAACTAAAATCACCTTTGAAAGGGAAGAGTTCACAGGATCAATGAGATTCAGGAAAATATGATGGGGCAGCTGATGATGGCAATTAAGAAAACTGTGTGAAGTCCCGGGCGGGGTGCCTACTTTGAAAGGGACTGAGGCGTCAATGTCCTATGTACAATGTTTCTTGTATCTTCAATAAATGTCTCTATTTTTTTCATATTACCTGTCTGGATACCTTATGGACATTGTATGTAAGCAATTTATAATGTCAAAAAATGTGGATCTGAAAATAGAATGATTATGAATCTGAAACATGTATAAAATATATGAAAATGTTACAAAGAATGGGGTGGGTAAAGGGACTGTACTCTCACAAAGATTCAATATTTTATTTAAAGTAGTATAATGTTAACTATAAGTAGACTATAAGTAGATTGTGATAAGTTACCCATAGAATTTTCTGCAGTGATGGACAATATCTGCATTGTCCTTTAAGGTAGCCACCAGTCACACATACTTGTTGATTGAGTATTTGAAATATGGATTTTGTGACTGGAGAACTAAATTTTAATTTCATTTAATTTTAGTTAACTTAAATTTTAAAGTGAAGTCACCACATATGGCTAGTAAGAACCATTTTGTTCAACGCAGCCCTGGAGCAACCACTGAAAATAATGAAAAGTAGGATACCTAAAAAGATAATGGGGGAATAAAGTTGAAATACCAAAACAAAAAAAAATCAAGTAAGCCCAAAAGAAAGAAGGAACAGAGAGAAACAAACAAATTAAATAAAAAACAAATAGCAAAATGGCTGACTCAAATCTAATCATTTTATAATTAAACATAAATTAAAAGACAGAGAATGTCAGAATGGATAAAAATGAAAAGACCCCACTACATTCTGTTTATAAAGAACTCACTTTAAATACAGATACAAATACATTATTGGTAAAGAGAAGGAAAAATTTATATGATGATGTTTTAGTTTTCTAGTGCTGCAGCAATAAATTACCATAAACTAGCAAGCTTAAAACAATAGATCATTCTCCAGTTCTGGAGTCCAGAAGTAACAATCAGCGTGTTGGCAGTGCCGCATTTCCTCAGAGAATCCTTTCATGCTTCTTCCATCTTCTGGTGGCTCCTGGAGATTGTTGGCTTGTAGCAGCATCACTACAATCTGCCTTTGTCTTCACTTGCCTTTTTCTTTGTGTATCTGTGAATCCTTTTCAATGTTTTATAAACCAGTCTCATTGGATTTAGGGCCCCCTTAATCCAATATGATCTCATATCTCTCTCCTTACCTGAATTACGATCTGCAAAGACTCTATTTCCAAATAAGGTCATAGTTTGAGGTTCCAGGAGGACATGAAATTTTGGGAGACACTATTTAACACACTACATAGAAACATTAATCATGAAACATTTGGAGTAGCTACATAGACTTCAAGATATGGAGATCTGTTGAAACTAGAGGATTATTTCATCATGATGAAATGGTCAGTACATGAGGAAGACATAACAAATGTAAATGTGTATACAGAGCTCCAAAGTACATGAAGTAATCTGACAGAATTTAAAGGGGAAGTAAAGAAATCCATAATTTTAGTTGAAGCTTTAAAAATGCTTGTTTCATTAACAGAAAAAACTAGAAGGTCTGAATGATAGCATAAGTCACCTTTACCTAATTTATACTTGTAGAACACTATTTCCAACAAATGCTCTTTGCAAGTTGAAGTGGAAGGTTTATCAAGATAGATCAGATCCTGGCTGAAAAAACACATCAACAAATTATAAAATATTTAAAATGTTTTAGAGTATGCTTCTGACCATGATGGAATTCAATTAGAATGACAATAAGTTATCTAGAAAATTCTCAATATTGGAAATTAAACAATAAACTTCTAAATAATTCATGGTTCTTTGAAAAATTTAATAAAATTAATAAATTCCTGGCAAAAATAGAGAAAATGTAAATTATCAACACCAGGTATAGAATACTATGATAATGGATACATACATCAAAATTATAAATGGGAAAAATATGAACAACATTTTATCAACACATTTGACAACTTAGGTGGAATGAAAAATTCCCTGAAAAACATAATTTTTCAAAACTAACACAAGAAACAGAAAATCTGAAGAATGGTGTACTAGCAAAAAAATGCAAACTGTTACAGAAAAGTGTTCCCACAAAGAAAACCCTAGGTATTTATGACTTTACTAGTGATTTCTATAAAACATATAAGGAAGATAATAATTCCAACTTTATACAAACTCTTTCAGTATACAGTATACTGAAGGAAAAACAAAAGAAGGAAA